TTATTCAATGAAATATGGTAAAATCAAGAGTACTGGAATGAAAAGTAGCAGTACTACAACAATTGAACGGGATTATATGATGAAGTATAGAAATTCGGGAGATGGTAATAATAGTTCGCAGCTTCTTACGGTAAAAAGAGAACCAATGAGGTTTCTGCAAAGGACTTTAAGTTTTCAAGTTTGTTTATTCATAGAATTGTCGTTATATTTATGTTTATCTTCCTTGTGAAAATGGTTTTAAAACGCTACGATCTAGCTTGTAATTAGACTTACCAACCACAAAAATCATAAATCCGGTAATAATCGTTTTTTTTTGTCTGTAATTTGTGCTTCTTCATTTCTCAATTTGACTTATGGAAAAATATAATTGCCATAAGTTTTTATCAGCAAAACATTGTTGGTATATTCAGATATAATGTTGGTCATAATATCATTAGGAATGATATGATGCATTCCCTTGACAGTAATAATATCGGTAATAGATACGAATAATACTTCTTATGGACTATTCATTATTGTTTCTGTATGACATTATTAGCATTCTGAAGTGAAATATCATCATTATTTTATAAGATGACATGTTTTTTTATGTCATTAGTTTCTTAAATATTTTAATATCACTGAATGTCTCTTTTAATATGGGGCGGTATTATTACTGTTTTGGCTTGATTTTATGCAACTGTTGGAGGGAAACACTGAATATATCGTGTAAATCTTTTGCTCGATTCGAAGTAAAACATCAATACAAATTCATGAGTAGTTGTTGCACCGGAAATGGTGTAAATTTTTAGAGCGCGAAAACAATAGGGCAGTTAAAACTGGATTCTGAAACAAATGCGATGATTAAACTTCGTTACAAGGATATTTCAAAATATGTCATTTGGCCAGACTGTACATTACCTGAAGAATATAATCAGAGTTGTTTGGTTCGTGTTTTACTTTAATTCAAAGTTGTAAAATAACGAAGTCTGTTTCCTACGTATATCTGTTTCCACGTGTGTGTTTTGTTAACCACATTTGTTTTCTATATTTTTTATTCCATCTTTTTTCTTGTTCTAATTTAAATGGTAAATAATCTTAGTAATGTTTTCAGACTTTGACTTCCAATTTTGCCAAGGAGACTACCATTCGGTACAGTCATGCGGGTAATCATCAAGCATCACTTTTAGGATTGAGAAATAGTGAAGCGATGGATAAGCGTTTTACTGTTATACCATTTGGTTCTCCAAAAACATTTCCAAGAACAAAGGTCTGCCTTACAAAAAAAACAGCGTACTAGACAATAGCTACCTGACTACTCTTGATATCAACTGCATTTTACAGCAATTTCAAATCATTCAGAATGTAATTTTTATAAGATAAAAGTTAATTGAAGTTTATCGTGTAAACACACCTAAAAATTTTAAAAAATTGAAACTGAAAATAATTTTGAATAGTTTGAAATATTTTTCTCTGTTAATAAAGAAGTCGTATCAGTCTATTAAGACTTCAGTCACTTCGCATTTCAAAGATTTTCCAGAATTATATGTGTAGTCTATATGTGAATATGCTTCAGTTTTGTTGATTGATAATGATGAAATATATATAACTTTTCCAGAGTTTAAATTTGTTAATTATTTTCTCCTTTTTCGTTGATGGTCGAAATCGGATAATTTTTCAAAAGTTTTCATCTTTAAAATTAGGTCTTTTAAGCATCACAAATCGCAGCCGTACTGCATCTTATATCCAGCTCGAAATTCGCGATCAAATAACTTGGCAACAGTTGAAGAAGAGCAGCAACCTAAACGAGCACTATCTCTAGATCATAACTCTACAAAAGTGAATGAAACGGTAGTAGATATTGAAGACGATCGAACACCGATACCGAAGCGAGTAATTAATTCAGTAAGGCGTTCAGAATCTAGTGATGATGATGAACCAATTGTAAGTTTGACATCACCAGTAACGAATGATGAATCTGGTTTCATCGATGTTGATTATATTTGTGAAGACGAAGAAGAATCTGATGTTCAAATTTGGAGATTTTAAGGGTGTTAATAAGTCTTAATATACTCGTGTCATATATATTTAGGAATTCATTTTCAGCTTCTGATTTGAAATGCACTGTTTAGGATTAAAAAACATTTTAGTCTTTGCTTAGATAAGTTCCTACTTGCAATAAAATTCTTTCTTCTTTCTGGTTTATTTTTCTTAAGGTTTAGAACTCTCTGTGGGACAGTAACCACAATTACTAGAAAAAATTATGAACATGACAATAGTTCTTACAGTAATAAAGCTCAATTTTTTTGTATCGTTCGACGCTTCACTCATTTGTATACTGCTCATCATTACATTACTCTAAATTAGTATTTTATAATTTTCCTATAATTTATTTTGAACACATCTATTAAATAACCGCAGGCACTATGATTTATGAGAGACAAATTTACTATCATTGTGGTCTAATTTTTAAAACTATATAATTGATATTTCATATAGATTGAGCAATCTGATGAGTTACAGCTTGAAGTAATTTATACAAGGTCCATACTGATTTAGTGTAATGTAATCACTGCATTCTGCAATTGAACTATAAATACTAAAGGTCATTGCTTTGCAGTATTGTTCTTTTAATTTTAATCTTCGTATTTATTATACCTGCCTTAGGTTGTGATTTCTTGTTTGTGACTTGCAAATTAATTTTCATGTCCAATACTGTAGTATTCTACTTGTTTTGTTGTAAAGCCCGTAAATTTTTAATGCAAAATAAACTTATCATTGAAATATATTTCAATAAATTTATAAACAGCGAACAGAATCTGCACTAAAAGATGAAAACGAATGATCATGAATTGACGCAGAGTTAAATAGTATTCCAATCTATTATGTGCGAATACACGTCGATGCACGTAGTAAAAAACGTAGTTCGATTCGACATCTAAGTTTAAATTGCAATGAGAAGAAGCCCTGAGAAGTGAAGTCTTTATAATCTTTCTTTTCATCAATTTAAGAATTTTTTTCAATTTAGAAAGCGATTGTTCCTATTTAAGAAGTGGATTTTTTCCTGTCCATACAGGTACTGTGAACGATAAATGAGTCATTTTTCATTTCGATAAGAACGATGAAGATTTTCTACGTATGAAATGATAAAATTTTGACGTGAAACATACCAAGAAGCATTGTTTATTATTTCTTACTTTGCATCACACATTTTTGGATGGCCTGAAGTTGCATGATAGATGCAACATTTGCATGTTTATATAAGTCTTTTTTTGCAGAAGGAAACTTCAAGAGCATTTGTTATTTCCAGTAAAGATTACTTTTAAGAAACTTATCGTGGTAAGTTGAGAAAGAGTGGAAGATGTCAGCTGTTGAAAAAGGCTTTAAGTGATTACGTGCTTAAAAAGAATACTTGAGGTATTAAAAATAATGAATACATGAATATGTACTTAATATAGTTATTACAGTAATATCTGTAAACTATAAATGTCTATATTTTGACTCCATTGCATTTCTGAACCAATTTCTCTTCTACACGGGCATGTTTTTTCGTGCGACCCTTTTATTCGATAATGTTACCACTTCTGTACTTCAGTTTCTCCTTAATATGTGTGCGGACTTTTCATTTGGATTGTTGTACGAGACATCAGTCTAAACTGTTATGGGTAATTTTTATTCCAAAACTGCTTGGCAAATTGATATAATTAATTTTGTCGATCCATAAAAAATAAATTATTATTTCAGAATTTTACAAATTCTCATTACTAAAAAGATAAGTTGGAATTTCCGATAATTTTTGCATACTTTTTCATTTTGTTTTGTGTGTGGAAATTTGAATTTCATACTGATCACAGGCACATATTTTTGCTAGCAAATATGCAAATTTGCTTCTTCCAATTTTTTTTATCAAAATTTACATTTTCGTTTTAAGCATGTAGCAATACCATTGACAGCAGGAAAACATTGATTCCATTCACTTATAAATTTGATTATATGTAAAAAGAATAAGGTAGTCTATGAGCAATACTTTACGCTCATCACATGCGATTTAAAGTTAGCTAACATTTGTCTTATTTGAATTAGCGCTTCTTCCAAAATTCGTCAAGAAAGAAATGCGTAGCCATGTGCTTTACGTTGACTCACTTCCATTACTTCAAAGAACTTACGGTATTTGACGTGCTTTTGCATTTTTATACTCACTGTCTGCTGACATATATTAATTGATTTGGTTAACATTTTCATAGTTTTGACCATTTGCATTCGAAAATTGATTGAAATTGTCTTTTGTCGATCAGCGATTTCGTATTTGTTTTTTGTTGAATTTAAATAGCAGAAGCATGTGATAAAATTAAACAACGGTGAACTTATTACATGGGTATCTGTTATATCTTGTTTGACTTATTGATTGATTTGAAGAAGTTTCAGGGTTTTCTGTACTGTGATATTTTCTTATTTGTGATGAATTCGTGTAAAGATTGAAATGATTTGAGTGTTATATCTTCGTTTTCTCTTTGATTTATTGTTTGATTTAATGTTTATTCTTTTTTGTCGTATTGCAGGGATAGGTTGAGTAGGAACGATTTCACTGCATACAAGAATAGAGCAGAATGATCGTAAAGGAGTAGTAAGTTTTCACTTATTCTTTTTACAAAAATAATTTAATTTGTACTTATTAATATATTATGCATGCCAAAATAATAAATATTGTTTTGAATTTTGAAATCAAAAACATGCTTGATATATCGTTAATGTAGTAATGTAGTTTAAAATATTTGTAAAGTTATTGTATTTATTTCTCAAGATTTCATTGTTTATATATATATAATTATTAGGAGCATTGTGCAATTATATAAAAAATAAATTTTACAGTCGTTTGGTGTTACCGATGACAGTTGAGGAGTACCAAATTGGTCAACTATGGTCTGTTGCAGAGGCATCAAAGGCAGAAACCGGTGGTGGTGAGGGTGTCGAAGTTTTGAAAAATGAACCTTTTGAAAACTATCCATTGTTAGATGGCCGTTATTCTTGTGGGCAGTACACACACAAGATATATCATTTGCAAACGTATACATTTTTTGATATAATTTAAATGTAGCTTTAGTAAAGTAATTTAGTGCCATTTAATCTGATTGAAAATTAAATTTCTTCACCATCCAAATAATTTGCATCGGCTTCACAGCCATAACATTTTTAGCAAATCTAAGTCTAAAAAATGTGACATTTTTTCGTTAATGTTGCTAGACTTTTTTTCTACAGAAATTACAAGAGTTAATTATTATTGTTTTTGGTGATAAAAGCTGCAAAGTAGTCAAGCTAAGTGATTAAGGATTTTAGCAAAGTGCCGGGAATTGTTCGAACATGTGCACCTAAAGGTTCTTTGGCAATTCATGAAAGAGCTTGGAATGCTTATCCATACTGTAAAACAGTCTTAACGGTTAGTTGAGAATCATTTATTTGTATTTTAAAAGACATTTCTTTGTCGTTTCTCGTTATCATTCTTTGCTCTTGAGAGAGCAAACTTTACGTATATGTCAATATTTAAAGAATCTTGAAAGCTTTTATTTTTTATCAAAGATCATATTTTTTGCTTGTCCACGTATTAATTCACAAGTTATCTTTTACTGAACTTGACTAACTTAGTTCAGAATAATTAAGTTGCAAATACTCTCTAATTTATGTGATACCATCAGTAAAATTTAATTTATGTGATACTGTCAGTAACAACTAACAGTCATCCTCTGCTGGAATTCAAAAAACTTATTTTTCAGAATCCAGATTATATGAAAGATGATTTTTTCATTCATGTCGAAACAATCCATCTGCCAGACCGGGGTACTACCGAAAACGCACATAATTTGAGTCCCGAAGATCTTTCTAAACGAGAAGTGATTCATCTTGACATTGCCAATGATTCAGACTATTTGAATGCAAATGTAGGTTTCCTGTAATTCCAAATATTTAAAATCTAGCTGCGTGTAGATGACTTTTGCTAATTTTTGAAAAAATTTTTGGGTTGCATGCAATATATTCTTTTATTTTGCTGAATTGTTCATATTTTCGTTTCTGTTTTTTTTCCAAATGTACGTTGTTATTCGTACTGGTCATCACCATTTTACATGCAGCAAAAAATGAAAGATATATTTACGGTTAAAACTCTAAATGTTAGCTTTCAGGACATTGATCCAGAAACAACACCGTCTAAATTCAGAAGCCAGAAAACAGGTCGTGGTCCTTTAGAGGGAAACTGGAGGGAGACCATTGAGCCAGTTATGTGTGCTTATAAATTAGTTAAGGTGCACTTTAAATGGTTTGGTCTCACAAAATTAGTGGAAAATTATGCGCATCGTGTAGGTTTCATTTTCATTTTGCTTTCTAGCAGAATATTCAATTGAATCAAATAGCTATGATATTCCTTATCCAAAAAATATTGCTTAATTGTGTTTAGATTTTTAGACATCATGTATATCGACTATTTAAATTATACAATCAAAAATATACAGCATAATTTAAGCAATATCCTCGCTTATTTACCAAATTCCATCGTGAAGTATTTTGTTGGCTCGATCGTTGGTATGGTTTGACAATGTCTGATATCCGCAAAATCGAAGATGAAGCACAAAAGGAATTAGAAGAGGTAAATCAGAACAGTGAAGCATTTCTATAAACACTAGCTTAGTAGCAATTTATTTGAAAAATCGAAAAATAAAATAACACAATAGCTATGTTATCTTGTTCCATGTACTCCATATGAATTCCTGAGACATCATTCTGTAGAGTTACTTTAGAGATTGTATAACTTTCAGGCTAGAATAAATGGCCCTGTACGTGGTATGTTGCCATAAGAAAACGCCGCAGTAATACAGAAATATCAAAATATATGAAACAGATTTTGTAAAAACTGGCTTCCCTTTGCTAATATTATATATTACAAAACTTATTTATTCCTTAGCTTCGTCGTCATGTTTCCCATTCGAAACATCAGCTGGGTAGGAATCGCTGCTAGTTTCGTTTAACAGAAGCTTTACGATCAGATTTTATGGGTATGCTAAACGAAATTAATTATATGAAAGTGATTGATTTTTGGTTGAAAATGCATTTCATCATTGATTATCATATTTTGAACCATACTTTCATAATATTTTCTTTCATATTGGAATCAGTTGAAATGCATGAGACATGACGGGAATTGTGTGCATTGTTTCAGTTATTTTGTTAAATAGTTCTTTCGATCTCAAATATTCAGTTGTTCAGTCTCTATAACACAGTTGCATATTTCACTAAAAGAACTTTAGAATTGATATTGGAATCTTTTAGGTGCTAAAAACTTGACAGATTTTGTGTGTAATATTTATTTTTTAACGTTTTTACAGGTTGCAGTTGATAATGACTGTAATTTCAAGCAATGCAAGCAGTCAATCTTCTTTTTAAATTATTTGTGTTTTTTTCCACTCTATATATGAAGAAATTATGCAAGCGGTTTTTTACGTCCTGTTAATTTTTTATATCGTGACTTTTTTTCTAACCGTGGTAAAACATTCCTCAAACGTGTTACTAATCAAGTTTATGCTCCATAATAATAGGCTGATACTATTATTTCTCATATTCTGTAAATTGTTATCTCACATTACTTTTTTAATGTTATTTATATCATTATTTATCTGTGACTGTTCTAAAATGTGAGCATTATAAAGCTGGACTGTTGAAGTTTCAATGTTATATCGGTATTGTCATTAATTCAGTGATAATTTTCTTGGGTCATCTTCATTTAGATTCGCTCACTTTCGTTCTTTTGCTTTCTCTGTCTCTTTTACTCTGAAATTTTACTTGTACTGACTGAGTTCATGGGTCGTTTTATATGATTTTCGTTATTTGATTGCAATTATAGAGGGTTTGAGTTCTGTCTTTGTACCAGTAGATTGGTTTAGTGATAGTGTGTGCTATTATGAAGTTTTATTTTTCTTCAAATCGTTACCCAGTTTTGTAATAGCAACCTTCACAGCACACTGTTGTTGCACCCCAAGATATCTTAGCATTATAACATGCCAAAATATTGTAGACATGCTTCCTTATGAATTTCTTTTAATGAAATTGTCTTCTGCGTGCTCTTTTGAATAAATAATGCTTCAACTTCTTTCTTGTCAACAAGTTAGGTTAAAATCATTTTCAACCGTTTATTTCTTGTTTCTGAAAATGAGACTTATTTCAAATTGAGGAGAAGTGATTAGTCAAGTCTCGACTTTCAGTACATCTTGGCGAGATATGTGTTTAAGATTGAGTCGATGTGTTTATTGATGTTACTTGGTTGCAACGTTATGCCTTTCAGACTAGCGCTTCCCAAATTGAATTGATGAATTCTTGGCACTTTTTTATATTTAGAATCTGAACTGTAGAGGGGCTAATTAATGTGTTAGTGTCGACTTTATCATCATGGATGGTACTGATTTACTAAAAATTTCTTGGATACCTGTAGGCTTTCCGCTGACTGGCAAAGGTTATGCTGCTAAGATTTGTGTTCACGTAAGTTCATTTCTTTTATTCTCCTTTAATTAGCAGGAACGATTTGTCAATTTTTTTTAATGCATTGAAGTAATGGGTTATTTTAGCTTAATATATTATTTGTATGTTTCAATCTAATGTTGATTAGGGTTTTTTTTCTCACTACGATGATTTCGCGTTAAAGGCTAAGCAGTTATGTGTAATGTTGACTGATTACGAACAAATATATTATGAGATATGTGATTTAACGAAGAAGTTTACATCGCTGAATGCTAAATTAAGTGGTCCAGAGGAAATGTTACTTGACAAAGTTCGTTCTATTTTCGAGTCTTCGACGACTGAAGTTTTAAATGAAAATAGACAAGAAAATAAGTTGGAATTTGATCTGAAATCGCCTTTTGGAAAGCGAATTTTGAGATGGCATTTTTATGGGCAGCTGATGGAAGATTGTCAAAATGCTGTGAGCTTCTATTTTTAAATTGTCAAAATAGTAATTTAATTTGTTAACTAAATATTAAAGTAATGTATTACTTACTTCAATCCGGAAACGTGTAGTACTCCCTTTTTGTGTAAAGATTATTTGCAGCTATTTTTGATTTGAATCAGAGTACTTGCTTCAGTCTTGATCAGCTCAAAGCATATTGTACATTTTTAACACTAAATAATTTATCTCGTGTATTCTCAAAATGAAGTTATATCAGTATTTGATTATTGCGTGCATTTTCATTTACCTATGCAAATTTTTATTTAAGGTTTTTTTGCATATTACGCGACCACTATTAAACATGCTATCCGTACTAGTGGAAGACTGTGATCTAAGTTCACTCAATGGTAAGTTTTAAGCCCATATTCTGGATTCAGCATTACTAGTTTTTTTTAAATTCATTTGTTTGAAGTTGGTAGTAAGCTCTTCAGTTGCACGATCATTCAAAGGTTTCAACAACCTCTTTGGGAAACCTGCTGTGCAAAAATTCTATGAAGCAGTGGCGGTGAAATCTTGTGCAGAAAAAAGCAATGAGAACGATTATTCTGTTGAGGATAAAAATAAATACAATGATGATGATAATGCTTCTTTACCAGCAACACCACCCCCTCTTTTAAATACTGAAATAACTATTGTAAATGATGAGGAAAAAGAATGTCCGAAAAAACAGTCACCACTGAAGAAAAGAAAATTAAAATTCTGAGTTGAAATCAGAAAATTATTCAAATTAGATATTTCAGAGTCTGTTTGTGAAATTATTTGATGCAATGTTGTTTGGGGTAATCGAAAAGCTCATTACTACATTGCATGATTATGTTAAGTTTTTTTTCGTATTTCTATTTCATGGTTTAATCAGTATTATCATTTGTGGGCTTATATTTTTGGTTTTGGTAGTTGACTTGTATCCTCATAATTAATCCTACATTTGTACGAAAATGCTATTTATGAAGTCTTTCTTTCACTTGCTCATTCATTTCTTGTAGCACAAACACTTGAACACTTTTATAGTTTCCAATATAAAAATTTTTATTCCCTCCAAAGAAACTGTTTTCTAGGCAGCGAAATCAAATTAGATAGCAAATGTTTCTCCAGTATGAGTCTTACTCAGGTGATGTGAGCATCATATCAGATCGAGAATAAAATACAATCTTCCCAAAAACATGCTTAGTTAGTGATTTTTCGAGCACTTCTGTCCTCTTGCTGGAATTATGCTCTATCATTTCTAGTTTCTTAACTGCGATATTTTTGATCTGGATACAGTTCTGATTTTTTTCTCTTTGTGCAATTTCCTTCCTTATCATAACAGTTTTGTCTCGCAAGAGTGTTCAGTAAGACCTACGACTACTGGACTTGACATTACTGATCTATCTGGATTTTTCTTATTACACATTAGCTGCTTAGATTTGAGCTATGCTACTTTTCTTTCGTTGGCAAGTTATTTCTTTTATTCAAAGTAAAAAAGAAAAGATCTTGTTGATAAATGGTTTATCTGCGAGTGCACAAAATTATTCAGTCGATATGTGGAGTTACAAATTAGTGAAAGAATTTGATGCATAATAAATTATTGTAATAAAATCAGCAGTGGAATAAGGTAAATCACACGATAGTTTCCAATTGTTTGGCATAAAAAATGGCTTGTTTAACAATGCTTTTAGTATCCAGAAATGCAGGTGGCAATACGTGCTGAAATAAAAACATGTATAGTTCCTTTTTTTAACTAAAAAAGTTTTATTTTTACAAATTTATGAATATTACAAAAGTGAATTAAATTACAGTTTGATTGGGATGGTGAAATACGAATGCAGCGTTTTGACCATCAAGCACAGTGCTTTTCCAACCACGCTGCAATGATGGTTTATAAAGTGATTATTCAATACGTAATTTCGTTTTATAATTTTGGGACAGTCCGTTATTTGTTTTTGTTATTCTTGTAACTGGTCACTTGGTCAAATGCAATCAATAACAGTTAATGAGTTTAAAAGTAGTATTCAATTTGCAGCGAATATATGTTTGTTGACGCTGACATGTAATTATATCTTTCTGAGACAGTTAAAGTCACCAGCAAGTAAGAATTACCTTTTCTGCAAAAGGCATCAGTTCGTGGACATCATTGAAAAGAAGTAATTTTGCGGCATCTCTCTGAGTTATTTGGATGAAAGCAGATTCTACACATGCTGCTATTTCCTCTCTTAACAAATTTTATTTCATTGAGTTGCAGAAATTTATCTAATCGTAATAAAATAAACTAACCGAATAGTATTCATTGACATATGCATGAATAATGTGTAGTAAGGACTTGGGATATTTTTTTTTGTCAGCAATATCTGTAATAGTTTAATCAGAAGTGAATTTTTAAAATTTTTATCCCACAAAATGAATTTGTGTCAAAACAATGTCTGCATCAATAAAAATGTAAATTAGGTTTCTAGGAACACTTTGCATTGTAAAACAGAAATTATGTCTTAAGATTCATCGATTAGGAATATCCATGTTGGAATTAAATGATTTTGGCTGAAATATTCTTAACCATTTTATCAGTTATTCTTTGTATCTAATAAATTTGAATATTCAGCTTGTATTGGAGTCAATTTGATTGGTACAAACATACCTTATGATAGGCTCCCTCCATTACTGATTGCTCCAGTGTTAGCGGTATATGAATATAAGGATTATTTTGTTGAATTTCTTCATCGATTTGCTCCAATAACTGTAATATCCCACAATTATATAGAAATTTGAGTAGATCGCAAGGAAAAATGTTAAAGGAATGGCAATATCAATTTCTGTGGGTTACGTGGCAAGAATTTTATCATTTGATCGAAAAGTTTCAAAGGTTGGGTGGTTTTTGTATACATAAAAATTTTGTCAGTTTACCATATGAAATTCAGGATGTTGATTGGTAGCAAGGAGGTACATTAGATTTAGGCCAATCATCAACCATTTGTTTGGCCATTTTTCGCTAGAACTGAAATTTTATTCTTTTTCTTTTGTAGCAATTGATGAAAATTATTAAAGAAATATTTTTGCGGCCTAGAATTGATGGTTCAATCAAAGTTTAGAAAAGAATGAGAAAACGTCTGATTCACCTGTAAGATTTATAGAAACTTAGAACAACGTTTATAGCTTGTTGGAAAGAATCAAGATCGGATCTGAGTATCGCGTACAATACCTCTATCTCAAATACATCTCCTATAATTTTGGATAAACATTTTATCTTCTGAGTTTGGATTTAAATTGAAAAATGTGATCTATATTTGTAGTTATGATAACAATTTCAAACTTACGATGAATCAAAATAATAGTTTCATGACTGAGACCTCGCAAAGCATCAGCATTATTCATTAGTTCCTAGAAAGGATAAAAACGATTACAGGTTATTAAGTTTTTGTTTGATTTCTATCATAAAATATCCAAAACTTTGATGTTTTAAAAGGATGTAAGCACTTGTTGAAATATGTATATATATAGTTGATTATATATATATATATATAATCAACTGAAAACAACTGCTGAATGAGATGACTGCCTGACATATGAAAGCAGATAATTTGTAGTTTGATTCTATATTCAGCAGTTGTTCTAGTTGATAATTTGTTCGTTTGGAAAAGAACAGCTCGTGAACTCTTGTACCTTAAGTTGTTTCAGTTTGAGGCCAATGCTTTCTAAATTTTTGTTTTCTTTCTTCCAGTCTGCCATTAGTTTCTTCCACTCCATTTCCATCTGTGTACACGTACATGTCATTATTTATATATTTTTTTAAGTTTGAAAACTTTTAAAAAACTTTCAAATAATCTTTATTTTATTGCAGTCCTGCTCTGTTATCTGTTTAGTACGTTAGTTGGGATACTTTCTTGTAGCATATTTATACAGTATTCTTGAAGTATTTAACTAATATCGCTGATCATAAGTAAATTAGCATTCGGACTTTTAGAATTGAAGAAAGCATTTACTGAATTAGTTTGTGTTCGTCTTAAAAATCATAAAGTGATATATATAAGTATATGAAAATAAGTGATGGATGTTTACTTGTACACTTTTGAGGATTGTATCCAGTTCTGATAGATTTCGCATGGATTCTTTTCGCCAGTCATTGAGTAATTGTTGGTGCACTCCATCCAGACTGGTCATATTTTATTCTTGTTGTGTGCTCCCTTTCTGCAAACAGTAAATCTCTAGGTAGCTGCGTGTAAAGATCAGAAGACCACGTGAGGCAAACAATAATTCACGATGTTGACATGTCACCACACATATTTTCCTTAAAACGTTTTTCTCACTTGTCTTTCATTGCGTTCGTTGTGTTTGTATTGTGCACTAGTTGTCCAGCTGTTACAATTTCTATAAAGTGAACTCATCTCCGTGCATAAACTATCTACACCACTCACATTCTTTCATATTTGTGTGTGTGTGTGTGTGTG